GTTGGGACCCTTGGATCTCCCAAAGAGGCATCTGGAGGGTGGCAACTCACTATGTGACTCACTGGGCTGAGTGAAGTCTTCTCCCTATGGGCTCTTGGCTTGGAGCCAGGGGTTGTGGAAGTGGAGACACAGATGGAGGTGGAGTACCCAGTAGCGGTGGCTGTGGTGGAGCCATAGAAGCAGGGGGAATATATGTTGAGGGTATCAATAGCTCTTCTTCAGGGTCCCCCTGAAGGATCAACTTCATCATATCTTCCTTTTTCACCTTTAATATTTGGGCCACGAAGATCCTACACTGTCCCTGACCATTACACAGAACTGGACTCATGGAGGCAAGGTTTGGGCAATTGTCAGGCAAGATTCAATATGTGGAAATTGGTTGGGGTGCCCTGGGGTCTTGGTAATCACTTGGTATATGGCCTGGACAGTTGGCAGGTCAAGTGTGCCTTCTGAGGGCCATCCCACTCCAAACGTAGGCCATTCTAGCTCGCACAGTGTGTGCAATTTTCCTGGTATCAATTGAACTCCATAATCTCCTGAGACCTTTTTGAAATGTTTAATCCTGCAGTCCAGAGCAGTCAGCTTTGACTTTGAGGCCTCCATTGTTAGCTGGTATATTTTATGGCCTATAGGCATGGGTCTGCTTTTGGCAACATGGATGGTGACCCCAGTATCTCTGTTTCCCCAACTCCTCAAAACAGTGGAGCTCCCCAAAAGCCAGCTGCCTCACCAGTCTAATATCTGCTTGGCTGCAAGCATTGCCAATGAGTCAGGGTTTCTCCCAGGAAAGAAATCTCTGACAAATGCTAGTGCTTGGATAAATTTCAAGGGCCCTTGTATAAAGACCTCTCTATAACCTGAACTGATGAAGCATGGGGGTGGAATGGCAGGCCAGTGACAAAACAAGTGGACCAAAAAGTGGCCTCCAAGAAGGGGTGCAGTCAGTCCTAGGGAAGCCCTTCCTGGCTCACATCTTGTGGTCTCAATGTCAGACAGAAAGGGCAGTACTGGGGCTGGTTCACTAATCACAACAAAATATCTCAGAGGTCTGATGATATGGTCACGTTGGAAACTTTCTCAAAGAATTCATGCCTTGTCCCTGAGAGCACAGGGGTCGCTTACTCATGGGATGATCTACATCCCTTTCCCTCCCTGTGAGGCCAGCCTGTGCTGGTGTCACAGACAAGACAAAGGGAGGGACTTTTGTTGCATCTGCCTGGCCAATCCTCTCTTGGGAATGTTGGTGCCTCTTAGCATTGGTGGGTCAGTATAATCCACTGACACTGATCGATACCTTGAAGGGTCAATACCACCCTGAGACATATGAAGTCACCACAGAATGGCAGGTTGGGACTCACTCGAATTCCTTAGCATAGCACCGTGGAGCTACAGACTTGAACCTGAGGGGCAAGTGGATCAGGCCACACACACACTCACACACACAATGAGAGGTTAATTTCACATTCCACCCCCAACTGGAGGATTCCTGACCTATGTTCCCAATCAGGGAACCCTTAAGAGGTGATCAGTCTCCTCTTCTGTCCACTGGAACAGGACCTGACTATGTACTATTCCCTGGTTCCTACCTGGTAAGGAAGTGCTCCCTGGTGAGTTGATCAATCCATCCACGAATCCAGTCAAGGTTCAGCTGCCCAGAGGACTTAACCACCTCAGTGAGGGAGGACCCAGAATACCATTGGGTGGTGGGCTGCCTCATTCACTTTTGGGGTTCCCCGACTCCAAGTGGTTGCTACATTGCCCTGGTGGCTCAAGGGACCAGCACAGTTGGAATCTTACTGGTGCCTCCAGAAATGTTGCAGAAACATGAATCCTGTTGAGAGACCAAGCAGCACTCAGAGGGTTGTATAACTCAGGTTTATTTTCCTGGTTAGCCCAAAGGATTTAACAGTCCAAGCTCTGGACCCGTCTGTAGGTTTACATATGATTTTATAGGGTTTTAGGTTTCAATTAAGTCCATACCATACACAAATGTGGTGTTAAAAATGGACCAATCAGTAGGAGCTTTTGGGAACCAATGGGATTTTAGGGGTAAATTTCATTTTCCTAGAAGCAAGCCGTTTTGAAGAAGCCCAAAAGCAGGTAGGCAAAGGCCCTTCCTGGGAGGTCTTCCTGGTCCCTTTGTGGGTTTTTCACCTTCAGAACCAAATTTACTAATACAGAATTCATAAATTTTAAAAGTAATGCATTTTCACAGTACAATTTATTTTTTATAAACAGACTCAAATATGTTTAGCTTCTCTATAATGTATTTAAAAAATTGCCAAAAGTAGACAAACTTTTAACTATACTTCAATAAAAAACAATTCAATAGCATAAAAAGTAGATAAATGTTTGTTCAGCAATTAATGTTTAAATATTTTATTTAGAAATGCTCTAGATATTCAACAAATATATATGATTTACCATCACATAATATAACTTTAAAGTTTCAAGTTACTAAAAATTTT